AATGACTGGGATAACCGGGATGGGAGTGTCAGAGACAGTGCGATTGGCACAGGACAGAGCAGAGTTTAGGGCTGTTGTACACAGGGTCGCTATGAGTCGCAAGCAACTCGACGGCACATAACAACAACAACAACAAAGGTTACTGAGGAAAGTTTCCACTAGGTAAATAGGGTGAGGATGTGAGCATATGGTTTATTTTTCACATTAAAGTAACCCTAATATTCTTTCAGAAAACAAAAGAAATTCAAAAAATGCTAAAAAAAAATAACTTTTTCATAAGGTACTAAACAATAATTCTGTTAAGTTAGAATACATAGAAGGGAATCAACGGTGAATCCAGAGGTTTACAAAATTCCTATTTAGACAACTCAGGACACTGCAAATTAAGAAGACTGCTTTAAACACTGTTCCCAGTGTTGCATACTGGTTACTGGATATCATTTTGGCCATAAGGAAACGGCATATCCAGACTATTATTACCATCCATTCTTACCATTTTGTGCTGTATATACCACTCGGTACAGTCTTACCCAATTTAGTCCTTTGTTCTAATTTAAAAATTAAAAGAAAATTGCCTTCTTTTCTTTTACAAATTTAAGAACCTAGTACAAAAATTAGTTTCTACACACACAGGAAGCATGTGAAACTTACTGAACCTGGTTGTATTTGGGACTGAATGGCTTATTTTTCTCATCATTTTTAATTTTCAAAACCTACTCCAAGTAGTCTTCTTTTCTTCTTCATTACCTTCCTCTCTTTAAAATTCAGGTAATCCCAATCTTGGAAAGAAGGACATTCTAGTTTTTTCCCTTTCTTTTAATCTCCTAAATACCTGCTGATACACTATAAAATCCTGATAAGCAGGGATCCTCAAATGCATTGAAAACTGCATATGGAATCTAAAATTTAAGAAAAGCAACACATCAACTGTAATTGCTTAGGGAACTTGTTAGCTAAAAGCAGAAAAGAACAGACGTAAAGCAAGGTACAATTGTGCTGATAATACAGCTCATCACTCTTTAGCACATTTTTAATTACTAAAATACATAGTGGGCAATTACTGACTTAATATTTATTTGCTTTTTCAAATGTGACATTGTTGTCTTTTTTTTTTTTGGCACAAATTTGAATCATACAGAACTAAGCTGGTGTGCAGAAGCTAAGACAAAAGCCTACTTAGTTGCCCAGCATTTCCACCTCATTACTGGTTTTGTTGCAGGAAATGAAATAAACATAAGGGAGGGAATGACTCCCAAGAAAGATACCTACGAATGCTACCGCTGTACCTGTAAAGGTGAAGATCTGCACACTTCAAATAACCTACCCTTGGACAAGATCAGCTGTGCCCTTCGCATTTTTCCATAATCTTTGCCAAAAATAGTTTATTTTAAAATGAAGATACTGAGAAATAACTTTTACAAGGATTAAACATACACGTTAAAATAGTAACTGTAAAGAAGTGGGAGATGGAAGGTAGGGAACCATTTTAAATAACATTTTAACACAAAACATTACAATACTGAATAGAGTAAGTAAGTTGCAAATAAGTAATTTTCTCTGGTTGAAAAGAATGCTTTATCTATTATTACACCAGCATTTCTTTAAACAGAACAGTCTTAGTTCATGATTTGTAAATTACAGACTTATATCTATATATATATAATCTGTTGTCTTTTTTAATGACTTCTCTTATTTTTCTCACCTTTGGTCTAAATTTGTGGGCAGGAGTGAGACCAAATCCTCTCCTTTCTTCAAATAAATACAGAAAATCCCAGCGTTTCAGTTAAATCATATATTTAAGTTAAAAAATGTCTAAAGATAACTTTGGCTGGAGACAGACTATTTTTCTCATATCCCCAGCAGGAATAAATAGGAAACACATGAATTATTCCCAATCAGCCACTCATCTCCATCTAACGCATTCCAGAAGTCAAACATTTTAATAGCCACATCATCTTCAGTGCTCTCATGAAGGCATAGTTAGTGGATGATTAGGAAAAGAAAATATTAAAAGGTATTCTAGGAAGCCATCACTTAAAATTGCATTCAACTTTTAACCCACAAGTACTTGAAGGGATTTACAGAGATCAAAAGGCAAAATCGTATTGTCCTCTCTTCCATGTTATCAACCACATTAAATTCTTAAATGATAGAATCTTTATATTATTTGGCTAAAGAAAACATGATGTTGGTTAGTTACCTTGCAATTTCCACTGAAATCTGGAGTCATACACTCACTTACTTGAGATCTCAAAGACACATGCACAGTAACATTTAAACTCTTAACAAGTCAAAACACTTCAAGTGTTACATAGTATTAAGAGAAGGATGACTGAAAAAGGGATAGTTATTAACCACAGAGAAAGCAAGCATTTACAGAAACTGGACTTTATAGGAAAAGGGGAGGGGGACTGTTTTGTTTTTTAGTAAAATGCCTTTTGAGTTAAATCTCATACCCACTCAACCTGTAACTGGACAGTACATTTTGCTTCTAGTTACTAGAAGACATTTCTTTTTAAATGATTGGGGCAAAAAGGAAAGAGGAGACCTAAAGTTGTTCTCTAGGTTCATCGCACTATCCCTTTTTAAAAGGTAGACTGATGAATTTAAGTAAAACCACACTTTTTTTTTTAATCCAAAATATAGGGACACAGAAAAGTGAAGACGAAACACTACAATATTTCCTCCAGCAGGATTCCCTCTACTCCTTTAAAAAAAAAAAATCAGCCCACATTTAAAAAGAGTTTACATACAGCTTACCTAACAAACACCCAAACAAAAACAAAGAACAGCATAGGAGAGATGAGGACACAGCACCAGAGCTTCAAACATTCACTTAAAAACAAAACAAAAATTGCCACCAGAGACTGGAGTAACAGCAAGTTTCCCAAAAGACAAAGACGTATCTCAACACATAAAAGAAATAAAATTATCTATTTAAATAAAAGCAAGAAGGAAGATCTGGTTGAGCTAGAAAGAAGGGAATGCTAGCTCCCTGCACTACAAGTAAGGAATGGGTTTTCTTATTAAAAAAGAAGAAAAAAAAAAGCAGGTCTCCAAATAGATGCTGAAACTCTGTCTTAAGCTGCTGGTAACAGTAAATATATATATATATTCATAAATGTATATTAAAAAAGAAAAATAATCTATTTATAGAACAGTCAGTAGTCAGAGACATTTAGAAAAAGTAAAAACAAGTCTTTTTTTTTTTTTAAATGGATTTACTAAAACCTCTTCACTCAGAGGTACTACAACCCCACATCTTCTGACTGATAAAGCCATGGGGATTAACAGCATCTGTTGTCACTCATGGACCACAATCAGAAATGGCCAGTGTTGGACACAGCAGACACTGGGGTGAAGGCTGCAAGGCAAAAAGCTATTAAATTGCTGGTCTTGCTCATGGCCATGCCTGAAGCCTGTTGGTGTCTAGAATATTTGTGAATGAAGGTTTCCCCAGAAAGCATGCACCACTGCAGCTCAGTAAGACATTCTGATTTATCTTCTCTCTCACAGAAGCATGGATCCATGTACCTGCTCTTGTCCAATATGCAGATCCAAGAGATCTGACTTCTTAATGTCTAAAAATGCTCCTTTTGTTGAAATTAGAAAACCACTTCTTCCCATAATCCAATTTAGTCAAATTTCTGACCTAGTTGGGATCCTCCTCTTTAGGAAGAAAAGATGTTTTTCCCCATATGGCGAGAGACTTACTTGGGGCTTTCTTCTTAGTTCACACAACAGAGGTCTATAAACTGTGCTATTATTCCATGACTTCTAAGTAGATTAATTTCAGTCCTGTTCTTCCTAGCTGTATCCATAGTACATTAAACGCCCATCAATAGTGGAAGTGTTACTCTCATTTCTCTCCAAGTAGGCCATATAAGGAAATTCAGGCAATATGCTTGCCTTCAAATGGTGCTGTCCTTAGGTTGTAAGCCTCTAGCTAATATTAACTGGCCATAAGTCACATTCTACCCACCATGCTAGCACACCAATGTACTAATGCTAACCAACCACCCTAGAGCTCAATCAAGTGCTTGGCTTTCATGCAGCACACCACATTCAGAGGGAGCAAATGAACTGAGATGCTGGCTGCTGAATCAATGAAGGGACCCTCTGCACAGATCTGTGGCTCACACTGCATATGCAAACAGGAAGCCTATACTAAAAGGACTTTCTCTGAAGGCCATTGATCTTTGGAAGCAACATTCTTCTGAGTGGCTCTAAACCACTTCATTTGATGAATAAAGTCTCAATGTGGACCATTTTTCCCCATGCCCCAAACTAACCAAGCATGTGCTAACTGGTCTCCTTAAGGTCCTCCATTGGTAATTTGTAGCTCATTATGAAGGAAGGAGGTGGTGCTTGACCCGGGCTATCTGGCCCTTGCTTCTTTTCACAGTTTATACAGATGTAATCTTCATTTTCTGCCATTTCTGGAGAGACACCCACACAAACTTGATGAAACCACTCATCACAGCCACCATCACATTGTACCCAGTCTACCTGTAGGAGACAAGATTGGGAGTGTTTAGGTCACATAAACATTAGGCCTAGAAGAAAAGCAAATCAAAGAGCTTTCTTGGCTGAAATTATAGCAAACAATTGGGATGTCCAGAGAGAGACAATGACTTCTTATGGGGTTATTTTTTAAAGAAAGAAGCTGGGAAGTTAATACCCCAAAATTATAATTTACCATAGCGTGTCCACAAAACTAGGCCTCTTAGGTACTCCATTCCTCATGAATACCTGGGGCTTCTTGTGAGGCAGAAACATGTTTGAGGAAAAACTCAACAAAAAAGGAACTTCTAATAGAGCAGCCAAGTAGATTTAGCTAATATTAACAATTTCTAGGCTCTAATACAATGCAATTAACAATCAAGAAAGAAAGAGTACAACGTGAAGGCAATCCTGCATATTAGCTTTATTTCAAAGAGATAAGCCAAAGTACTAAGAGCATTAAATACCTTTTTAGAAAAGCAGTCACATAGGCCACTTTTAAAACTAATATTTTTTATTCTTCTCTTCTTCCGTTACAAATACAACTCCCTATAAAAAGTTAGCAAATATCAGAGGTCAAATCTTACAAATTAACCAATTATAACAGTCAAAGACACAGGTCAATAGCTCACTCTGGGATTCAAAATTAGTCAGGAAAACTGATAGGTTGGTGGCAAATGTCAGGCAAACTTAAACCTTCAAAGAATATAGGGCTTAGAAAGTGACTATAGTTTCAGAACTTTAAGTCTTAGACCAAGAGTCAGCAAAAACATCTTTGGGTTTTTAGATTTAGAAGGTAACTGTGGTCGTCTTTTTAGCTAATGCCACAGCAGACGAGAAGTTTTAATATTAAAAGAACTACTCTTCCTTTCTTTGCTGCAAAGGTTGGTAAGTTCACTGGCAATAGAGTAATCCAGTTAAAACAGTTAGCTTTACCAGGTATCAAAGAAAGAAGTAGAAAGGAATCCAAGAAAGTCCCTCAGTACAGACATGAGAAAAGACAGAGGAGGGAAGTTTTGGTTCTGTGAATATGTTTAAGAGGAACTGAGTGGATTCTGAAATGAGTTTCCATACTATACAAATGATCAAAAACAACAGTCATGTTAGCAGTTTTCTAGAGTTCTAATAAAAAAGATGGGAAGAAATAATTTGTCAAAATAATATTTATGCTTTTATCATTCCTAGTCCAGACTTCAAGAGTGCTATGGAGCAGAAAGATTAATTAGCTTATTCAAAAGTCCTGAGTTCTGACGCTGCTCTGTCATGAATATATAATTTGAAGCAAATAATTTTATCTCCTTTTGGCTCAAGTTTCTCATCTGGAAAATGGAGATAATCTCTAATTTACAGGGTTATTAACATGATCAAATTAAATAATGTATGGCAAAGCACAGAGTTCAGTGACTGGGATACAGTGGAGATATTAATACCTTCCTAAAGGAAATGCATTTCTGTAATTTTACCTATAGTGTCTACTTTTGATCAAAATGTTCTTGTGGCAAACTGCATTAGCTAGGAAATGAAGATAGTGTCTTCTGCGTAACAAAGTAAAAGTAACGGCACTGAAAGCAGGTGGAGATTTACAAAGTGCTGAGACCTCTGGTGGCCTAATGGGAAAGGAGTTGTACTGCCAACCCCAAAAAAAGTTAGTTTGAATCTAACAGTCATTCTGCAGGAAGAAGATGGGTAATCACCTCCCATATGATTTACAACATCTAAAAACTTGCTGGGGGGTTAAAAACACCAATAAAAACTTGCTGGAAGGTAACTAGGAGTTGGTTTAGGCTCAATGACACATAACAACTACTGGATCCTTTGGTGGTTTAGAGGTAAGGAAGTACATTCCCAACTCAAAGGCATGTAGTTTTAATTCACCAGTGACTGAGAGAAAGATGGGCAATCTCCTGTGCAACTTACAGCCTCTGAAAACCTGCTGAAGGGTCAGCTACGAGTTGGCTCTGACTCATCTGGCAAATAACAACAAACTGGATCCAAGAGGCAGTTCTACTCTGTACAGGGTGGCTATGAGTTGTAATAGATTCCACAACACAATAACAACTGGAGCAGCTGGGCTATCTGGAAGATGCTAAAAGAATACTTTCTAATTTCTTTTTTTTTACACTTTCTAATTTCTAGAACAAGATTATGACTTATTCCTTTGGATTCCCAGGTTTGCAGCATTATCCTGTTTATCATGCGTCTCTTAAACCAGAACTTCAAATTGGTTGAGTGTGGTCTGATCCTCCATCAAGAAAACGCCCTTTTATCCATATATACTGAATCAAAAACTACTACATTTAAAAAGATCCCCAGGTGATCCTTAACAAAAATTCTACTAATAAGTAGATTCTGATGCACATATCTAGAGTGGAAAGGCAAGTTCTCAACAAAAGTTCAGACTGGAATGAATCAGTTCAAAGCTATGTTCTAAATCAGCTGACATTGGTGTTTTAGTGGCAAAGACCAGCGCTGCTAATCCAAAAGGACATGGTTCAAATACAACAGCTGCTCCACAGGAGAAAAAAAGGGCAATCTCTTCCTTTGCGATTTACTGCCTCTGAAAACTTGCTGGGAGTCAGCTATGAGCTGGATCTGACTCAATGGTAAAAAATAATGATCCTTACCTTTAATCCTCATCATCTAGCCCTGTCCTCATTCATGCTAATTCACAACAAAGCTACCAATTCAACAGTATTTGCCACCAGGAATACTCTCATGCTTTTTAAAATAGAATTCTACTCCACTAGCTTCCAATGTCCCCAGATGAAACATACCAACCATCTCTTTCAAATAAAGAAGATGATGTAACACTCCCCCTGTTGTGATTTTGGCTGGAAGTTCCTTGCTAACCCTAGCACTCCAATCATTACAACAGTATGTAATTTAGTACTCAAAGAGTACTTGATTTAGTACAACACTGGTACTCAGATTCTATCTATCCTGGCCTACAGATTAAATAACAATTTACACTGATAGTTTGGCAGAAGGGAAAAAATCTCCACCAAACCAATCTTCCTGTTACCTTTTGATCATGTTCAATCACTATCACTTACTTTGTTTGAAAAAGCCTCTGGGGTCATAAACCAAGGCTAAAGCTTGGAGTATCAAATTGACTCCACAGAAGACTCTGGGTACAGAGACCACAGATTATGTAGTAATAATCTGAAAACTCAAAAACAAACAATTTGGCTAGTTGTTCAGTGTTAGTAATTTCCCTTTTCATCACTGCTATGAGATACACACAATGAATAACAAAATAACTATTAAAAACTTTAATAGCTATAAACTGTTTTAATATTAAGTGTTAAGAGATTTTCAGTTATTCACAAATAGGTTACTAGGTTCAGATTTAAGTAAAATATATGAGAAATATATTACATAGAGGAACTACACTTGAAATTTCATGTGATTTCAGGTTCTGAATTCAGAAAAATATTTGGCATATTGTCAGATTTTTAATTCGGAAAAATATTTGGCATCTTATCATCTGTTCATTTCTTAGGAGCATATTATTATTGCACTGAGGGAAAAAGAAAACCTGGTTGTTCAGTGTGATTCCTAACTTACTCAAGCGAGCTTTTACTTTGGCATTCAGTCTCTTTCGTACCAAGATTCCTTCCAAAAGCCAGATATGAAAACAACTCAGAGAACTACAGCATAACAGATGTTCCAAATCTGTGTGTTTATTTTTCTGGTGTTCTAAAGACTAGGTGACCAACCCTTCCTGTCTGTGCAGGACTGAGATGTTTCCCCAAATTTAGGAAAGTTACAACTAAAAATGAGAGGAAATTCCAGGCAAACTGGGACATTTAATTACTCTATCTCAATATCACTATACTTTGTATATGTGCATTATACATATTTAGGTAATTCACCTTTTGATTACCTACTAGTAGACAAGAACTGATTAAAAACAACACTATGCAAATACTTTGGTAATACCACAATACCACAAATATCTTTTTAAAAGCACAGTGGCTAATAAAGAGTACAAGCTGAGAGATCCAAGTTTATAAACTTAATCTCTTTATTTACCATGTAAAACTCAGTCTAAAAGTTGGGTAAAAAAGAATAAAGAAATAAGCATATGATATGAAGGTAAAAAGGTGGAGGAAAACAGTTATTTTTTATAAGTGAAATGATAACCTATTTATTTTAATTCAATAAAATATTACTTAAATATGATCCTCAAAAAACTTATTCCTTCAAATGAACTTTATTTAGTCTTGGTAGCAATAATATTAAATAAAAGAGAGTTTAGGGGTAAAGGATTCTTAACTATAAAACTGATCTTCTGGCGAGCTCTGGTGGCCTAGTGGCAAGAAGGTATACTGCAATCCCAGAGAGGCACGGTTCAAATCCACCAGATGCTTTGCTGGAGAAGGAGGAACAATCTCCTCCTGTACCAGTCAGATCTGATTTGACGGTACACACACACAAAATAATAAAACTAAAAAATAAAAAAATTTAAAAAAAAAGATTCCTAAAAACAAAAACAAAAAAACCCCTGATCTTCTGAACAAAGCTGTTCATTATTTGTAAAGTTCATTTCTACAGAAAGTTAATAACTGATGGCTTTAAAATATTTTATATTATTCCAATTTTATTCTTCTTTTCTCTTTCTAAAATATCTTGAAATTGAGGCAGGTAATACTTAAGTATCTTCTATCTCCATCTTCTAATTCTTTGGAATTTTTCTCAACTTATAATTGGGAAAAGCAAAGTTACTGGTTTTTAAAATGGTTAAAATACATTTAAGAAAATTATAAATTCTAGAAAATATTTATTGCTGCATGGTACTTTGAAGAATATAAACTGCTTCTTAAAAAAAAACTTAAGTGTTCATGGTTGTTTTGAATCTGTGGGCCATACATTAGTCTCATTTTTTAGGTAAATACTACAAACTGAGAAAGCTATAAATTTCTTTAAAATATTTTCAAAGAAATAGGCTATCTAGAAAACTGATAAAGTAAAATAAGAACCATAATTTAAAAAATAAATCTTTCTGTCATTATAAATTATAAACAGGCAAAACATTTATAAACAGGTATCATCTGTGTTATTTAACACACTCTAGAGGACACCAGTGGTGGTGCACTGGTAAAGCAGGTGGCTACTAACTAAAAGGTAGGCAGTTCAAACTTACCAGCTGCTTCTTGAGAGAATGACATGGCAATCTACCTCCATATCGATTGACAGCCTTTGAAACAGTATGGGGCAGTTCTACTCTGTCCTATAGGGTTGCTGAGAGTCAGAATAGAATTGATTTGCTGGAAAGGGTCTTGTTTGGGTTTATAGAATTATAAAACTTAGCAAGTTTCGTTTTATGTAAGCTAATGACAGGTGAAGGCACACACTGTTTTATTTCTCATATTTTAAAACTTTTTAAAAAGACATTTTCTCTGAATATTCGGCTAAGTTTCTTTTAAAATGTAGATGATCACTTTTTAGATTTTTGGATGGTCTAGTAACAGGAAACGTCACTGCAATCCCAAAGGCATGCTGTTCAAGGCCACTAGCTGCTCCACAGGAGAAGGATGGGCAGTCTCCTCTCATGCAATTAGACTCTGAAAACCCACAGGAGGATCAGTTAAGGGTCAGTTGCAACTCGATGGTTCACAACATCCTCCTACAAAGTTAGCAGTAAATCTCAGGAATTATTTAAAAGTAATGATCACAACATACAGATTGCATGTTTTCGGATAACAAAATTATCTCACTCTATCCTCATAACCCTACTAAGGAAATAGCCTACTACAAATACTCCTCAATGCTGGCTAGTCAGAACTGATTCACAGCTGAACCCCATTGGGTTTCCAAGGCTGTAAACCCATGGGAAGAGACTGTCCATCTTCCTCAGAGTTGAAGCCAATGGTGGACTTGAACTGCTGAGAGGCACAGCCTTTGGGATAGCAGTGCAACTCCCTACAGGGCTACACCATCAGAGGATCCTGAAGCAAACAGGGCAAGTATTAATTTACGTTTTATAGCACATGAAAAAGCACAATCAAAAGCATGACCCTCAAGGATTTATATGACACAAGACAAAGAGACTAAGAAATTAACGGAACCATATTTTAAAGGTAGAGGAAGGGAGAGAGGAGTTACTACTGAAGTAATAAAGGAGAAAAGCATAAAACACATAAGTGATTTACCTTGAATATAAGCAAGAATTGAAAGGAGGGTGATAGGAATGCTTTAATAAGAAGAGAATTATGCTGAGTGAACTAAGTCCCACAAGGATAAATATTGTATAAAACCATTATTGTAGAATGAGTATAAGGATCTAAGAGGTGTGGGAGAGTCTGGAAGCAGAGGGATGTGGATGTGCAGGGGAAGGGCAGATTAACCATCAGATTGTACAATTTGATGGAAGGGGTAGGAGAAATTGAAAAAATTTGTTCGAATTTGTATATAAACTAGTAGAAAAATTTTTTGAAAATGAAAAAAAAAAAAAAATCACTGAATCTCACTAAAACTACCATACAACTAATTAAAGAAAAAATAAAAAGGGAGAAGATTCTGTCAACTGAGTTGCAAACCCTTTCATTTTTATAGACAATTAACCTTCCTATCAATTTCTGAAAGAGAAAAGTAGCACATAAATGCATAACATATTCACAAAACTGCTTAAAAGTATGACAACCACATAAAACAGACTATATAGGAAGAATCAAACTAAAATGTGTGTAGCTGTTGTCCTTCATAATGAAACAATGGGAATTTTTTTTGCTATGTATTTGCCAAAAAAATAATGGGAAATCTCTGTATTTACTGTTTACATGTTTCAATTAGTTTTGGTATGTGTTTTTGTACTTGCACCTCAATATTGCTTGGATGCAGATATAAGTGGACAGAAGTCAGTCTGGGAGTTAAGGAACCAGGCTGTCTTATTTTTTGTTTTATCACCAATTATCTCTATAACTATGGCCACACCATTTCTTTTCACTAAGTCCTAATAATTTCATCATTTGTAAAATAAAGAGGCTAGATGAGGTAGCCTTTGTCCCCCTAAAGCTCTGAAAGTATTCAAGTATTTAACAGACAAAGTATAACCTGCAAGAAACAGTGATACAGCTGTGTTTATTCTGCTCATATTTTCAAACTGAGGAGATATAAAAATTCTAGGTACCCAGGGATAAATAATGAGCATAATAAACACCATTTTAAATATGAATTTATTAATAATCATATTGGGAACCATCACAAATGCCTTCACTCATTAAATTAACTAGCATTTTTCATAAAGTCCTCTACCTTTTTGAGAAGTTTATATAGACAATTTTATCCATAGAGTGTCATTTAATTACTGTACCTAAAATATAGGGTTGAAAAGATTTAAATAATACTTTTAAAGCTCTGAACTATCTGCTGAAGACCTCTATTGAATTTGAATAGTTCACGTTTATATTTGGGTAAAAATAGCAATTTAAGGTAGAGTGTTGTTTAAAATGTGGGCCATCTGAAGATTTCATCTATAATTTATGAAACCTGAAAAATTCTTTAAAAAGGCTATGACTACAGGTGAATACCAAGACAGGATTACATGTACTAAAGCAGACAAATTCTAAGACCATTAAAGGTTTATCTCTATGAGAAAGTGAGGCTGCACAGTTTCTCAATATAGCCAAACTAGTAAGTTTCACAGGTTTTAATAAGCTCGTGGTTTGAAAAAAAATCATATTTTATCTAAGTGTGTATACATAGGCCTGAGTATGAATTAGAGGCCAAAAGGAAAGAATTAATACCTTAGGTTTTTTTTCAGCCTTCAGACAATTTACTCTTAATGTAATTTTCTACAGCTTTTAGAATCTTGGCCCAAAATTACGTAAGGCCACTGTGACTGACAACGTATTTTATTTTCTGACCAATCCAAAAACATACTGTCTACTGTGTAAGAAAAGCTTGTGAGGGGTTGCCATATAGCTTCTCTCTGCTTCAGCTGTTTCACTATGTTCATTAATTATATGATTTTTAAAACACTGATAGATGACTGTCAGACCACTGATAATAAGAGCCTCATTATTCAAAAACAGTTTTAAAGAAACAGTAGAAAGCAGATTATGCTGGAAACTCAAACTGGAGACTCCAAACCAAATTATCATGATGGCAAACATCTCTCTCCATGACTACTGGTCTTTTCCCTCTCAGACACTGACTACCAACCTCTGGACTCACCTTGTCCTTGCAGGGCCTTTGGCAGTTTTGTGCTGCACACACTGCATTCTCATCATCAGATTCCTCTGCTCCTGACCAGTCATACTTCGAGGGGATGTCCAGTACTTTTCTCTCTCTCTTTTTCTCAGTATTTTCTTTCACTAATTCAACTTTGGCTGCAGCAGCTTTCTCTTTCTTTTTCTTTCTTTCTTCTTCTTTTGCTAATTTCTTGGCCAGTTTGTTTAGCTCCTTTGATTTATCAGCACTTAATTTTAATTTTTTCTTTTTTGGCTTATCCATTTTCTTTAACTCTTTAGACTTCTGTTTTCCTTCTCCAAAAAGCTGTTCTACCTTTTCTAGCTTCCGTTTCCGTTTCTTCTCTGAAGAGTCTTTCCCTTTTATTTTTAATGGTTTCTCTTCCATGCTGTCATCCTTCAAAGATACAAAATCAGAAACAACTTTCAAGACACTTCAAGAAAAGAATATTAAAGATAATAGTATAAAATAAAGATAAGCTCTAAAAGAAAATAGTTTTGTCTTTCAGATTACTTTGGGGAAGGGGGTCTCTGCTGGCATAGTGCCTTATATGTTATGCTAACTGAAATGTCACGAGTTCAAATCCACTAACTGCTCCAAGGGAAAAAGATGATCCTCTCCTTCCATAAAGACTTACAGCTCTGGAAACCTGGTGAAGGGGCATTATAAAGTGAAAGTGACTCAACAGCAGTGGGTTTGAGATAGCATTCAGTGTTAATGCATATTAATCACATCTTTAAATCTGTCTTGGTATCAGTGAGGTTTTTTTCTGTCCAGGGCTTGGTAGGGTTTTATAGACGCATGCACCCAACTTGAAGCCTTGTAGTAAGAACATTAAAGAGAGTGTTCTAATCTGGTAGCTTTCAATCCCAAAACATCACTTTCTTTACAGGAATTAAACATTATAGCTAAACAATAGTACTGCCTTAGGGACATTTAGGCCAACTGGCATTACACAGTCTACAAAGACATTGTTTTACATTCTACTTTGTTAAGTAGCAACTGAGACTTAAAGCTTGCAAGTCGCCATGTAAGGTGCAACTACTGGTCTTCTGTGCAAAGAATGAAAATTCTAAAAAAAAAAAAATAAAAATAAATAAAAATCAGAGATGCAAGAGAATGATTAATCCAAAGGTCTAAAGAACAAGATGTTGTCCAGCTCTGCTAGGTGCTCTGACAGGGATCACAATAGAAGTTTCTGGTGGTCCAGTGAGTTGGGAGTTGCACTGCCAACCTAAAGGTGGTGCCTCTCAGGTGGTGTGAATGCACAAATGACTCCAAAATAGAAAGATGGGCAATCTCCTCCCATGCATAGCTAAATCGTCAGCTATGAGTTGGTTCTGACTCATTAGCAGTGAGTTTGCAGTTTTAGTTTTTTGAGTATTCAAAAGCAGAGCAGAGCAGAGATTATGAAACAAAACTCAAAACAGTAATAATTTTAAAAAAGAACAGGCTTAATGGTCTGATAAAGACTCGTGGAAACCCCAAGACTAAGGCTTTTAAGCTTGAGGTTAAGCTCACCCACATGATTAAAACTTTCAGCTACAGAACAGATAAGACTGTAAAGTAAACTTACACTAGGGTTGTAGACATTCAAATGGGAAGCTATTTCCCCACGGATAAAGCTCAAAGGCTTGACAGAAAAGAAGGATGAAGGAGAATAGTAGGCACAAGGAAAAAATTTCGTAAAATGGTATTACATTGATGGTATTGTAATCAGTGTTATAAAGCAAAATGTTAGGAACTGTTGAATGGAAAATCAATTTGCTCTGTAAACTTTCACTCAAATAAATATATATACACACATGTGTATATAAAAATACATATATAACATCCTAAAACATATAGTACACATATATGATAAACTTAAAATATTACAGCCAAATATACATCAGCAAATTATGTCATTTTAAATGACCTAGTTTTCAAATTAGATGTTACATAAAACCTCAACAAAAGAAAATCATAAGGCAGAATTATTTTGGCTTAATTGAGTAGAAGAGTCTGAGTTTTGTCTACTCAAGCATTAGTGATCTCCAACAAGTCAGAAAATTATAAACAATTTTAAAACCACTGTTCAAGGTAAGCTTTAAATTCATACCTCCATTATATGCAGGAATCTATCTTCTGAAGGTGGGTGTGTGGCTTGCAAAATCCGCCATATGTGTTGCGTCTCATCCAGAGATACTTCTAGGAGATCTCCAACCATCATAAGTTCTTCAAGTTGGGCTTTAGCTCCAGGTGACAACTCTAACACTGGAGGTTCCAAACTCCGTGGCACCAAAGGGCTCTTTCTAGGTTGTTTCCTTGGGGTGCTAGAACCTTTAAAAACAACCAACCAATAATTCAAAATCATCACACAAAACAAAATCATTAAAACTATTTTAAAAACTATAATGTGTGTATCAAACACATATTTACAGAACAAAAACATTTAAAGTTTCAAAGTTCATTCAAAAAAACTAGGTTAGGCTTTTTGTTGGTGGTTTTTGGTATTTTTTTTTTTAAGTTCCTTATCAAATCTATACTATAGACAAGGAAGGTGGAATTAGTTAAACTTGTATGTACAAGTTTATGGACAGGGCCTCCACAAGAAAAAGACTGATAACCCAACTACAAAATAAGTAAGAGACATGGAAAGACTTTTCACAGAGGAAGACACTTGAACATTAAGAAATGCTCACTTCTCAAAAAGTTGCAAATAGAGATACCATTTGACCCAGCAATTCCACTACTGGGAATATACCCTGAAGAGACCATAGCTGACATCCAAGCAGATATATGCACACCCATGTTTATTGCAGCTTTGTTCACAATAGCAAGGAGTTGGAAACAACCTAAGTGCCCATCAACAAACGAATGGCTAGAGAAGCTGTGGTATATTCGCACAATGGAATACTATGCTGCATTAAAAAACAAGGAACTCATGCAATATTATTCAAAATGGTTGACTCTGGAGAACATTATGCTGAGTGAAATATCCCAGTCACAAAAGGACAAATATTACATGATGCCACTGTTGTAGAATGAAGACTGTCCTTGGGGTTGGGGAGAGACTGAGTAAGATGGGTTCAATAATGTATACTGCACTGAAACAGAGGAGGGAGAAAACTGTTTAAAAGAGATATATAACTAGGTATTTCTGTCATCACAGGAGTCTAGAGCGAGGGCTACATGGTGGAGGGGACCTGGGGGAGGGTTTGTAAAACAATGAAAGAATCTTTTCTTTTACTTTTCCATAATTTTTGACTCATGTACTTTTAACTTGTTAGTCAAATTTGTGTCTTCTAGGTTGCAACACCCCCATGACACATCTTCAAGGATATGAACATGTACGACCAAGCACAATCAATAAGAGTGCATCTAAATCCCAAAATCAATCTCCATAATAGTCTATGTGTTTCCTACTGCCAAAGGGGCCCTTTAGAGTAGTGAGAGAAGATCTTCACCCTGAAACCCACAGCGTCCCTTTTCAGCAGGAAGTAGCTAAGAGAATACGCCATCCCCTTTTCCTTATGACTCAGGGTGAAGTCTCTCTCAGGGAGGAGTGATAGGGAATGGCAAAGGACACACTGACAAAGAAGATTAATCAGAACTGGCTTTGACAAGCACTGTGGCATTTGGACAAGAACAAACTGGGAGGAGGGTAGAGAGAATAGTGCAACAATGAATGAATGGAAACCCAAAATCTCTGTAAATGTTTATGAAAATTAATAAAATATAATTATAGAAAAAAAAAGAAATGCTCAAAAGCACTGGCAAAAAGAGAAATGCAAATCAAAAACACAATGAGGAACCAACTCACTCCAGTAGCAGTGGCAAAGTTTAGCAGGGCATCACATAATAAATGCTGGAGAGGATGTGGAGACATAGGAACCCTTATACACTGTTAGTAAGATTGTAAAATGGCACAATCACTCTGGAAGGCAGTTTGGAATTTCTTCAAAAAGCTGAACATAGAATTCCATATGACCAAGGTATTCTACTGGTTGGAATCTACCCCAAGGAAATGAGAACTAGGGCACCAATGGAAATTTGTACACCAATATTCACAGCAGCATTTTTTTACCATTTCAAGAACACAAAAACAGCCCAAATGCCCAAGCAGAATTGAATGGACTGAGAAAGTTCAGTACATTCACACAATGGAATACTATGCAGCACACAGGAGCAATGATTTTGAAAATCACTACCTAATTTGGGAGGGACTGAAGAGTATTATGCTAAATGAACTAACTCATTCTCATTAGGACAAATACTGTGCAAGACCATTATTGTAGAAATAGAAGGATAACTAGTAAAATGTGTATGAGGATTCGCCTATCAACAAATGAATGGACAGAGAAGCTCTGGTATAGTCACACAATGGAATACTATGCAGCATTGGAAAACAAGGAACTCAAGAAATATTACACAAAATGGGTAACCGTGGAGGACATTATGTTGGGTGAAATATCTCAGTCACAAAAAGACAAATATGGCATAATGCCACTGTTATAAAAGAGGACTGACGGAGGGGTTGGGGGAGACTGAGAAAGATGGGACAAAGAATGTATACTGCATTGACAGATGAGGGAGAAAACTGTTTAAAAGGGATATATGATTAGATATTATTGTTATGATAGGAATCCAGAATGAAGATAGCATAGTAAAGTGGATTTGGGGAGAGAGACTGAATATCAATGAAAGATTTTTTCTTTTACTTTTCAAAAATAAAAGCGAACTGGGGGTAAGGGGTGGTCAGGGAGAAAAGTGCAACAATGAATGAATGGAAATTCAGTCTCTGTAAACTTTAATTAAAATCAATTAAAAAAAAGTGTGTGAGTATCTGGAGGGGGAGGTAGGAGCAGAGTGGTGAGGATGGGCAGGGGGTAGTCAGAGGGTCCTACAATTTGATGTGTAGTGGGAGGGTTGGGTAAAAAAAAATGGGAAAGATCTAGGGTGAAAAGCAAACCAGAATAAGATAAAAAAATTTATTAAAAAAAGAGTAGTTCTTTATCAAGTCTATGGACTTGGAAAATGAGTATGACAGAAACTTCTTAACTCATGCCCTCTCTCTCCATTTTGTTGCTGTGAGTTTCATTAAGGCAACCACAACTCGTAGTGACTCTATGAACAACAGACTGAAACCTTGCCCTAGCCTGTGCCATTCTCACACTTTCTACCATGTTGAAGCACACTGGTGAAGTCATTGTGTCAATCTACCTAACTGAGGGTCATCTTCTCTTCTGAATACCTTCTACATTTCCTGTTGTTTTCCAAGGACTGAAACCTTATGAGAATATGCACAAAATACATGAGATGATGTTTCACCATCCTTGCCTCTAAGGAGCACCCTTGTTGTACTTCTTCCAAGAGAGATGTATTTGTTCTTGGAAAAGTCTATGGTATCACAAGTCAAAGACATCAATTCTTCTTCAGTCTTCCTTATTTAATGTCCAACTTTCAGGTGCTTACAAAGCAACTGCAATTCCATGGCGAAGTCAGGTACTTAACTCTTTGCCATCAAGCAACCTTGACCATGTGCTTCATTTTTAGGTATAACAAAATATGAAGCACATATTAAGAATATTAAAATATGTAACACTTTTATATTATGCTTTGGAACTCTGGTGGCCTAATGGTAAAGAGTTGCACTGCCAACCCAAAAGTACACAGTTCGAATCTACCAACTGTTCTCAGGAGAAAGATGGGCAATTGCCTCCTATGCAATTTACTATCTCTGAAAACTTGCTGGAGGGTCAGCTATGGGTTGGTTCTTACTCAACAGCACATAACAGTATATACTATGCACTTTTAAGGGAGGTCTGGTGGTCTAGAAGCTAAGAAGTTGCACTGTTAACCCAAAGGCAAGCAGTCCCAATCCACAAGTTGATCCTCAGAAGAAGAAAGGGCAATCACCTCCCAGGAAATTTTCAATCTCTGAAAACTCACTGGAGGTTCAGCTTTGAGTTGGTTTGGACACAGCGGCTGTAAGTTGCATTAAGGAGAGGAAGACCCTGGATGAGGTGGGTTAACACAGTGACTGTGGCAATGGGGGCAGGTAGATGTGTCAGAGACAGTAAGGTTGGCTCAGGACAAGGCAAGGTTCAGAGCTATTGTCTGTCCACAGGGTCGCTATGAGTAGTAGTCAACTCAATGGCACAAAACAACAATAATGAAATCATCCACCAAGAGAAAAATAAATCTTTCTAACAATTAAAACTGTATCTAAAACCAGAATGAATAATTTTGAAAAGCATCCAGTTTCTTCAACAACTGGTAATGATCAATGTAAATTAAACAACTATATGTTAGGGGCTTAAAAGAAACCATGGAATAAACTAGCTGGCCTCTACTGTTCTTCTCATTAAGATCCTATAATTTCGAACATTTTCAGACGATCATCTAGAAAATATATATAGAGGCTAACTTTTCCTAACCCAAACAGAACTTTCAGATTCTATTGGTATTTCATGACCAGGAATTATATTTTATTAAGAAGAAATTCACAGTCTTGATTAAGACAATGTTTTTCGGCTCTTCTCCATCTTAATATAAAAGATTAATACCTTGGGAACAACTCTTAGAAGCAGAAGAATAAGCATGTTCAGCACAGAATGAAGGTGCTGTCCACATATGAGTTACCACCTCCTCAGATTTGATGGGGATTTCTTCATCACAAAAAAGGTTGGGTTCCAGACTACTAGATGATTTCACACTGGCTGTGTCCTGAAACATAAACAAAAAGAGACATTCAAATCAGAAACACTTAATTTACCCTTTGACAAAAACCTAAATGCAAGATTTCCAATTAAAGTTTCTACTATAACATACTAAAAATATGACATTAAAATGAAAAGAACAAAAAACCTAATACCCTCACCCCAATTTTCACCAATTCCATTCAAACTCAGGACAACCCCCTGTGTGTCAGAGCAGAACTATGTTCCCTGGAGTCTTTAATGGCTGGGTATTTGGAAATAGATTGCCAGGACTTTCTTCTGTGTTGTTACTATTAAACATCACAAAAAAAAATCAACTGGAGAAAAAAATCAGTAATGACTAGTGTGAAGCAAAAAAAAAATTAAAGAATAAAGCTCTTAAAAAGAAGCAAAAAACTAAAAGAATAAAGCCTCTTAAAAAGAAGAAAAATACAAAACCTACAGAATAATCAACCATGAGTTACCTCTGTACAGCAAATGGACAGACCAGTGCTATACCACTTAGAAGAATATTTGACAAAAACCAACAGGCCTGAGGGCCACAGATTAAAATCACCCACCTCTGTCTTGGTAGCATCACCTTCTATCTACTACACCAACTCTCTTGTTGTTAGGTGCTGGAGCTGTCGATGACTCACAGTGACGCTATGAACAAAAGACCTGAACACCTGTATAATTTTCATTGTTTCTCCAAATTCATAGAGTTTCCGGAGACAATAGTGGTTACCCATGGTGAACAGTGTTTGGCAGAGCTCCCCAATTAAAACAAGCTTGGAAGCAGGAGTGGCATCCACTTCTAAAATACTTGCCTTCAGAAATTCTATCACGTGGAGAAACGATGAAAGTTATACAAGTGTTCTGGTCTTTTGTTCACAGGGTCGTTATGAGTCATCTATGACTTAACAGCACTTAACAACAACAGAATAATTACTATTAAGTAATCTACTTTCTACAATCTAAAGCCTATAAAAACTTCCTTTTCCTGTACCAAAAAGTTAATGTACCTCACCCTTTAAAAGCAAAATTTAAAAATGGACTAAAGAAGGGGAAAGCAGCACATCTGTGACATCTTACAGGCACATCTCTTTTCATACTTTCTAATTTTCTATTCATCATAATGCAATCTAAAGACCCTGACCAGAAATACTCATATCCTAGAACTCCAACATACAGATCTAATGAAGGCTCAGATGATGTTCTTATTCAGTTAAATGCCTACAAGCTCATCTACACATAGCTTTAGTAATTAGCACACAAGTCAAGAAGAGAGAAATCACACCAAATATTTCAATAGCAAGATTTCAAAATGGGGGAACTGGTTACATATGTATCTAAGGACTAAAAAGACAAACAAGAAATACTGCAGTGACATCAAGATCAAGACTCCAGGAAAGACGGAACAACTCTAGGCTTTGAGAGGACAAAGGAGAGCAGTGGGTACTGTTATTAGAACTTAACCATGAAGAGGTGCTGCATAGACTAGGACCCAGATATCAGAGGAGGTCATGCTGGCCAATTAGTTCTCTTATCCTAAGTGACTATGATATAGTTAGTTTTAGAAGTGTAGGAGAAAAAAACGAGCAATGAGAACCAGTAGCTACTGCTAAAGAAAGCAAGCATGAAGTTCAGATGATAAGAATGACAAGAATGGGGCAAGAAACAGAAAAGAGCAAGTCACTTTTCACTGCTCAGGCCTTTTCATTTTCTCTAATACTTCTTAATTGGTAGAAGGGAGCCAGCAGATTGAGCAAAGGCTGGCAAACTATATCCAGTGTGCCAATTTCAACTGGCAGTCTTATTTTTTATGGTATATAAGTTAAGACAAGCGTTTACATTTATAAAGGATTGTACAAAACAATAAAGAATATGCAACAGAGCCCAAAAGTGGTTTACAAAGCCTAAACTATTAACTATCCAGCCCTTTACAGAAAAAGGTGCTGGGGGAAGCAACATGTAAAAAGGCAGGTTAAGAGATAAGAGACAAGAGTTTCAAGTTTAGCCTCACTATGATTTTCTTTGTGGAGTACCTAAGAGGAAGATTTGCTTTAATTGGACTATCATAATTATCATAACTAAACAGGATATGTTCCATGCATCTAGCTGTGTCAAAATAATGATTAGCTATGAAAAGGGCAACTTGGGAGGAAAAGGTTTTATGACCTTCATACACGGTCTTCTTACCTATTCAAGAATTTTGTCTTTAAAGGAAAGGAGGGGGAAGTGAGTACAATATCCTTGCTTTAGTTCCCAGATGATTCTTCTAAGTTAAATTACTCTCCTTTTTTAAAACCTTACCTCTTACTTCAATATAATTCATCAAAAAAAACTCACTGTGAAGCTTTCAAAATAGAAGTGTCCAGAAAATAATGGTGAAAAGGGACAGCAGGAATTCAAAAAGTTAAAAAAAAAAAAAAGGTCTCCAGTATGAACTGAGAAGTATATGATAATTTTAAGATGCATTAACCCTAGAGTGAAAATAAAAAGTATACCATACTCAATACATACGTGCACCAAAATACATACACAAAAATATTCACAACAGCGGGGAGCTCTGGTGGCCTAGTGGCAAGAAGCTGCACTACAATCCTAGAGGCTCATGGTTCAAATCCACCAGATGCTCTGCCGGGGAAGCAGGGACAATCTCCTCCTGTACCAGTCAGATCTGATTTGACGGTACACACACACGCAAATAATAAAATAAAAATAAAAAATTTTAAAAAAATATTCACAACAGCATTACTGGAAACATCTCAAATATTCTTCAACAATATAATGAGTAAATTAATTATGGCATATTCATATAATGAAATTTGTTGTTGTTGCTGTTATGTGCCGTCGAGTCACCTGCGACAGCCCTAAACTCCGCTCTGTCCTGTGCCAATCGCACTCTCTCTGACACTCCCATCCCAATTATCCCAGTCACTGAATCAATCCACCTCATAGAGGGCCTTCCTCTCCTGTGCTGTCCCTCCACC